GCACAGTGACTCCTGTTGTTGACTTTACCAATTGACACTCCTGTCTATGGCATCAGTAATCTCCCTATGCTCCAGTCATGAGTTTCCAAGGCTATGGAAGCCCTCTGAGTTCTCCGATTCTTATCTTATTTAGACAAGGTCATAGTCAAAGTGGAGGTTCTCTCCTCCCTTCAGAGAAAGGTACCTCCTTCTTTGATGACCCATTCTTTCCACTGGGATCTCACTCGCAGAGATCTTTTTGCCAGAGTGTCTTGGCTTTCCATGCCTGAAATACTCTCATGGGCTTTTCAGCCAGATCCGACTGCCTTTAGGGCTGATTCTGAGGCCAGAGTGCTATTTAGGACATCTGCCATTCTATGAGTCTGCTGAGTATCTCACTTCCCATGTTGGATCACTCTCCCCTTTATTTATTCTATCGGTTAGTGTTAGCAGGTACTAGACTTGTTTATGTGCTCCCTTTGACTCTTAGTCCTTTCATTATGATCAATTGTGAGCTGAAATTGATCACTTGGACTAGTGAGATGGCATTGGTACATGCCACCTTGATGGGATTGAATTGGAATCCCCTGGTATGTTTCTAACTCTACCATTTGGGGCAAGTCAGCTTGAGCATGTCCCAAATTATACATCTCTTCCCTCTCTTATTCCCACTCTTATGTTTAACAGGGATCACATTTCAGTTAATTTTCAACACTTAAGAATAACTGTGTATTAATTACAGAATTAAACCAGTCATATTAAGTAGAACAGACAAAAAAACTACTAAGAGGGATAATGTATTAAGTTGTTCATTAAGAGTCAGGGCTATGCTGATCAAATCACCGTTTCCCATAGTGTCCATTTCACTTCAGGAGGTTTCCTTTTTGGTGTTCAGTCAGTTGTCACCGATCAGGGAGAACATATGGTATTTGTCCCTTTGGGATTGGCTTATTTCACTCAGCATGATGTGTTCCAGATTCCTCCATTTTGTTGCAAATGACTGGATTTCATTGTTTCTTACTGCGGTATAGTATTCTAAAGAGTACATATCCCATAATTTCTTTATCCAGTCTACCCTTGATGGGTATTTAGGTTAGTTCCAGGTCTTAGCTATTGTGAATTGAGCTGCAATAAACATTAGGCTGCAGACTGCTTTTTTGTTTGCCAATTTAAATTCCTTTGGGTAAATTCCAAGGAGTGGGATGGCTGGGTCGAACATTAGGGTTATCTTCAGGTTTCTGAGGAATCTCCAGACTGACTTCCATAGTGGCTTGACCAGTTTGCATTCCCACCAACAGTGGGTTAGTGTCCCTTTTTCCCCACATCCTCGCCAGCATCTGTTGTTGGTAGATTTCTGCATGTGAGCCATTCTAACTGGGGTGAGGTGAAACCTCATTGTGGTTTTGATTTGCATTTCCCTGATTGCTAGTGATCCTGAACATTTTTTCATGTGCCTGTTGGCCATTTGGATTTCCTCTTTTGAAAAATGTCTATTGAGGTCCTTGGCCCATCTCTTAATTGGTGTTTTTCTAAGTCTTCAGATGCATTACTAGATCTTTGATATAATTTTTTTAAATGTAAGCACATAATGCTATAAAATTCCCTCTTAATACTGTTTTTGCTGTATCCCACAGGTTTTGATATGTTGTGTGTTCATTTTCATTTTCATTTATTTCAAGAAAGCTTTTGATTTCCTTTTTAATTTCTTCAGTGACCCATTGATCATTCAGCAGCATGTTGTTTAATTTCCAGGTATATGTAAATGTTCTTTATGGTCTGAGACGATACGTGGTATGATTTCAGTCTTCTTAAATTTGCTAAGCCTTGATTTGTAGCTAAATATGTAGTCCATCCTAGAAAATGTTCCATGTGCTGATGAGAAGAATGTGTATTCTGTGAAATGTCCTGTAAATGTCTGTTACATCCATTTGCTCTATAATGTTTCAATTCTATATCCTTATTGATTTTCTGTCTAGATGACTTGTCCATTGATGAGGGTGGGGTGTTGAAGTCACCTCTTATTATTGTATAGAGTTTATCTCTTAGGTCTAGTAGTATTTGCTATTTATATTTATATTGGGTACATATATATTTATGACTGTTATGTCTTCTTGATGAATAGAACCTTTTATCAAAATATAATATCCTATATCTCTTTTTATAGTTTTTGATTTTTAAGTCTGTTTTATCTGATATCAGGATAGTTACACCTGCTTGCTTTTGGTTTCCATTTGCCTGGTATATCTTTTTCCAGCCCTTCACTTTCAATCTCTGTGTGGCATTGTTTGTGAAATGAATTTCTTGTAGGCAGCATATAGTGAGGTTATGGTTTTCTCATCCATTTAGCCAGCCTAAGTCTTTCAGTTGGTAAATTTAATCCATTTACATTCAAATTTAGTACTAATAGATAAGAACTAAGATCTGTCATTTTGTTGATTGGGTAGTGCTTCTACCTGCTCTGTCAGTGAATTTGGTAGTAACATGTGTTTCGTGTTTACCTCTAATGCAGGACACCCTTCAGAATTTCTTGCAAGGGTGGTCTGGTTGTGGTAAATTCCCTCAGTTTTGTTTATCTGGAAAATACTTTATTTCCCATTCACTTTTTATTTATTTTTTAAAGATCTATTTATTTATTTGAAAGGCAGTGTTACACACAGAAGGAGAGAGAGAGCGAGAGAGAGCGAGCGAGCGAGAGAGGTCTTCCATCCACTGGTTCACTCTCCAATTGGCCACAGCAGCCAGAGCTGCACTGATCTGAAGCCAGGGGAAGCCAGGAGCTTCTTCCGGGCCTCCCATGTGAGTACAGAGGCCCAAGGAAATGGGCTTTTACTGCTTTCCCAGGCCATAGCAGAAAGCGGGATAGGAAGTGGAGCAGCTGGGACTTAAACCAGCTTCCATATGGGATGCTGGTACTGTAGGCGGTGGCTTTGCTGGATATAATATTTTTGGTTGGAAGTTTTTTTCTTTTAAGACCTTGAATAGATCATCCTACTCTCTTCTGGCCTGTATGGTTCCTCTAAGTGGTCAGATATTAGTTAACCTAATTGGTTTTCCTTTATGTGTAACTTAACACTTACTGTCTAGGATTCTTTCCTTAACTTTTTGACAATTCGATGATAACATGCCTTGGAGAAGACCTTTTCTGGTTGAGTGTGTGTGGGGTTCTTTGAGCTTCATGCATCTGGATGTCCATGTCTCTTTCAAGACCTGGGAAATTTTCAACTGTTATTTCATTTAGCAGGTTCTCAATGCCTTTTTCCTTTTCTTCTCCTTCAGGAATACTTATGAGTATCTAATCATTTAATGATATCCCATAGTTCACATAGGCTTTCTTCATTCTTTTCAATTCTCTTCTCTTTGTTTCTGTCTGATTGGGTTATTTCAAAATTCTTGTTTGCGAAACCAGAAATTCTTTCTTAGTCTGTTCTGCTGTTATATCTCTCAATTGTATTTTTAAAATATATTTTATTTTTAAAAAGATTTGCTTGTTTATGTATTTATCTGAAAGAGTTATGGAGAGAGAGAAAGAGATAAAAAGAGAGAAAGAGAGAGAGAGAAATTTTCCTTCTGCTAGTTCACTCCCCAAATGGCTGTAACAGCCAGAGCTGGCCAGTCCAAAGCCAGGAGTTAGGAGCTTCTTCTCAGTCTCCTTCATGGGAGCAGAGTCCCAGATACTTGGGCCATCTGCTGCTTTCCCTGACACGTTAGGGGAGAGCTGTATTGGAAGTAGAGCAGCTGGGACTCAACGTGGTGACCATGTGGGATGCCGGCTCTGCAGGTGGTGGCTTTACCCACTATGCCACAACACCAGCTCCTCAATCATATATTTTATTTCACTGATTGAAGATTTCATCTCCAGAATTTCTATTTGGTTCTTCTTAATGAGTTCTATCTCATTAGTAATATTTTCATTTATGTCACTCATTGATTTCCTCATTTGTTTAATCTATCTGTATGCTTGTGCCTCTCACTGAGTTTCCTTACAATCATTATTTTGACTTTTGTATGTGTCATTTCACAGATTTCCTTCAGTTTAGGATCTAATTCTGGAGGATTATTGTGTTCTTTTGGAGGCGTCATGTTACCTTGCCTCTTCGTGTCTCCTATGTCCCTACACTGATGTGTGTGCGTCTGGTGTACTCGTCTTTCTTTATAGAGTAGGTTGTATTGGAAAAGAGTTTATGGTTTAGCTGGGATGCAGGATGTCACTTGGCTTGTTGCTTTGGCTTTGGTTCTAAGTGAGCCCAGGAGTGTAGTCTTGCTTTTATCCTGGTACTAACCACCCCAGCATGTTTTGGTGTTTTGCACCGCTCTCACCAGGGGTTTCCTGATGTGTGTTTTCAAACACAGAGAACTGGACCAAAACTCTGGTGGCAGTGGTGGAGATAAATGTCTTAGTTCTCCCTTTGAGAGATTTTGGGTGGCAGGCAGGCAGTTGATGGCCTCCAGCTGCAGTGCTTCAGGGTCCATCACACTGGTCAAATGCAGAGCACTCTCCCCAGAGAGCTCCAGCCAGTGGCTGAGCATGGCAAGTGCAAGGCCTGGCATTTCTGCCAATGCAGGAGTTCTCTCTGGCAATCGCTGTGTGGGACTGGACTAGCCAAGGAGTTGCCTCAGAGTCTGAGGCTCTTTTGCCCAGTCCTGTGTCCCTGTTTCACAGCTGTCAGATCTGCATCGTGTCTGCAGGCTTTCTCTGCCCACTCCTGCTTCCTCCCCTCTTCAGTCCTTTGTCTTTCCCAGGTCTTGCTCCCTCTTCTTCCCTCAATAAATCTCTTGTACTTCAAATGCTTTCTTGGTGATTGCTTCCAAGAAGGCCTGAACTGGCACAGCTTTTGTCCACAGATAGAGGGCATCATTGGGCACATCCCACAATCCCACTTCGCTTCCCCAGATCTCTACCTGGGAACAGTTTCCATATTGTACCAACTCAGTTCCATTCTCCTAGCTATTACTAGGATTCCTGCTGTCATCCCAGTCTCCTGGAGTGTGTTTGGTTCCACAGTGAAGAGGCAAAAGCATAATATTGTTAAACACATACTTTATTTCTTTATAGAGATTCTTTCCAGGACCCCAGGCTGGAAAACATGGAAACCTCAGAACAATCTCCCCTTTCACTTATACTCTTCTCCCCTAAAACCAAGTCAATGAAGTTGACTCTTGGGTCCACTTTTCCTTAAGTCTTAGCATTCCAGTGATGGGGGCAGTGAGGAGGGTAAGGACTCTTGACTTCTAAATCCTCCCATAAATCCTTGTCCCCATCCCTCAGTTACTGTGGTCCTACTGTAAGTCCAAGATATACATCACATCTCCTCTCTGAGAAGGAGCAAGGAAGAGAAAGTGACTGGCACGATACAAGTAGCACGTCAGCAGCGGCTGGGCTTCACATTTTGGAAGTAATGTAACAAAGATGGCCCCATGTTGTCTCGTATTTATTGTTACTTGGCAATACATCAAGGGATCATACTGAAGAGATAAACACAGGGTAACACATTTCTGTAATAAGAATGAGACCCATGCACAGGGCTAGTCATGGTGCTCCTCGCACGCGGGGGCTGAGAACATTTTTGTACGTTAGATGGATGTTGGCAGTGGGCCAGAGGAATGCTTGGCTGGCACTCTCTAAGGGATGCCATGTTTGAAACTGCCCACAACCACCACACTCGAGCTCTTCTTAGACAGTCATGATGCTGTTCAACCACATCCCTTTGGGTCTCCTAAAGTGACTGGTGGCTGTCTTTGAACTGTCAGGGCAAGACTCTCTGAAGGTCCCAGCCTTTGTCCCATTATCTGTGGTGAGTGTGGGTTCTTAGACTTCTGAAAGAAATCTGCTTTTTAGATACCACCACGCCTCCGGCTGCATGCTGGACCCACTGGAATTGGAGAGTTAGCAATGGCGAGTACAGTAGGTGGCTCAAGAGCTGAAGGAGCTCTGTCCCCAGCTCAGGGTGAAGTTCAGAGCAAGTACTCAATAGCCTTCTCTTCTGTAAATATGATGTTTCAAGTCCTTGACACTTTCTTCCTAGGTGCTTGTCTTAATCATGTCTATTCTTTATATCCTTCTGATATAAGTAAATCAGACATGGCGTGATTCTCTATCCAGAGCTATCTGATTAATGCTTTGGGCACTGACTTTTGTTGCCCAAAGTTTTTCTTTCCATTCATATATCTACCTTAAGTCAGCTCAGTTTAACACTTTGTGTGCTGCTTTGTAGAATATGGTTCTCAGGATTCTTTGTTTTGCTTATGCTGTTGCTAGACAGCTTCCACTATACTTGCTGATACCCTGGGAGTGTTAGAGCCAGCAGGGCTAGTAGCACCCTGTGGGTAGCACTGTTGTGTCCTTCTCGTGATGGATGCGGCACACAGGTATCCATGTATTCAAACTACAAGGAGGATATTCATGGTTCTACATCCAACCACATCTGAACAAAGCACAGATCAGGGAGACAGAAAGAAGCTGCATGCCCACTGCTGGAAACCCCGTCCCAGCAGACTGGCTGTCCTAGGGCTGATGGATCATCCTCTGTAGACAGGAGGCCAGCAAAGCCATGAGGCAGAAAGAGGAGTTTGAGAGTCTGAAGGGAAGAGGCAGAACACTCTCCTCTTCTCACAAGTACAGCTGTGGGGTGTAGTCTGTGTATACAACAGGATCTGAACACAGGCCTTATGCTAATATCATGTTAAGAATCTGGGTTCGTTCACCTGCTGTAGGATATCCAGAAGGCCAGAGCAGGATGGCCATACACTTGTCCTGCCTTCTGGTGTTCTCCAGCTGTGCAGCTCAGCCTGTGAGAGCCTGGTGGAGAGATGCAGACGTCCTTTGTTTTGTAAAAGGCTGGAACTATCCTCAGGGCTTTACCGCAAACTGGAGAATGTCTGAGCTGGATATTAACACCTCAGTCTTAGCAGTTGCCTCATCTGCAGGAACCGGATATCACTGCTCCTCTTTGTTCTGAGACTGCTATTTTTTGATGAAGCAAGCAAAAGCTCACTTGATCATTGAAACACGGAACAGCGAGATATAGATTCTCTAGGTTAACCTCAGTATTTTCCACACAAGGAAAGAAGCTTAGAAAGTTCAGGCCTGGCTCAGGTCTCCTGGATTTTAACCAGTAGACTTATTCTGCCTGCATCTGTTGTAAGGGTGGTCCCAGGGCATGCAGTGCAGGGCCCAGGGCTCTCAGTTCCAGGTTACATGACCTGACATATGGACATGCCTCTTTTCACAGATGCTGAGGAGACAAGATGAAAGCTTTCATTCAGATTTGGTGTGTTTCCTTTTTCTTTTGTCCACTCTGCCAAGTGAAGGCTGGTGTTACAAGAGCCGGCGGCTGAAGGAGGCGAATCTGAGCACAATGGAGAGTGACTGCTGCATGGGTCAGTAGGAGCTGTTGCTGTCCTTTAGAATTCATCCTTAAATAAGCACCTACATGCAGCTGAAGTCAGTTCTGGAATCATGGAATGGACTGCAGGGAAAAGCTAGTCCAGCATTTTCATCTTACAGGCTTAGGGATGTTCATGGATTTGCCTTGGTCACACAGTTTATGCAAGGAGGGGGTTGGCAAAGACAGGGAAGGATCCAGATTGACTTGAAGATGGAATGTTTTCCCTATACCATTAGAACCCTTTCCACAAGTTCCAACGTTAGGGTGTTTCTGAACATCTCCGGATCAGAAAAGTATCCATGCAGGAATGAATGAAGCAGGATGAAGATGGTGGTGGCTGCACCTGCTGAAGGCCCTGTGGTCTAGGACAGCATGTTGGAGTAGAAGCTGAAGCTCTCTGTCATAGTCTTGGAGTTGCTGCGAGAGGAGCCATTGGAGGTCAGGTCAAGGGACGAGGGATTGGCCTTGGGGCCTTCCTCTGCCTCTTCCTCATGGGCCCCTACCACTGTGGAGATAGTGGTCTCCAGGCGACTGACTTTATACACACTGCCCTGGGTCTGGAGGTATCGGGTGGACTTCATTTCGAGACCCTCATAGTCTCCGGCACTGATGAAGGGGCAGCATCGGAAGGCATGCTTGAAGCCCAGACGGAACCTGAAGAGACAGCAGACAAAGAGGTGAGCCTTGGGGACTGCCTGCTTTCAGAGGTGCGTCAGTTCTTTAACCCATAGATACAGCCAGGTGTGACTCGGGGCTTTTTTGTTTCGTTTTTAAAAGATTCATTCATTTATTTATTTGAAAGACAGAGTTACACAGAGAGAGGGGAGGCAGAGAGAGAGAGAGAGAGAGAGGTCTTCCATCGGCTGGTTTACTCCCCAATTGGCCGCAATGGCTGGAGCCGTGCCAATCTGGAGCCAGGAGCTTCTTCTGGTTTCCCATGTGGGTGCAGGGACCCAAGGACTTGGGCCATCTTCTACTGCTTTCCCAGACCATAGCAGAGAGCTGGATCAGAAGTGGAGCAGCCGGGACTTGAACAGGCACCCATATGGGATGCCAGCACTGCAGGCAGCAGCTTTACCTGCTACACCACAGCGCCAGCTCCTTGTTTTTGTTTTTTTAATTAACTGAAAGCTGGAGACACAAAGTTTGGTGATTGTGGTCAAATCAAGGAATGGAATCCAGGTTCATGTGAAATGTGCTGTCTTTCATGAGGAAGGCCTTGACCTGTGCTGTGGGGTCAGCAGCCTTTGGATCAATTTAACATCAACAGCACATCATTCACTAAGTGTTTACTAGTGCCCAGTACTGTCTAGTCACCAGGTGGCAAAAGCACACCTCAAGACTGAGTCCTTTTCTTTAAGTAGCTCAGTGACTGGAGGAGGACTTTTTGCCAGCTATGTCCCTCCAACGTGCCTTAGTTTCTGTTTGTTAAACAGGAAAAATCAGTCTTTATTTACTTAAGGCTGTGCTGGGAGATTTAACCCAAACAGAGGCCACTTGGACAAGCTCAAGAGAGTCTGCCCGCCTTCACTCCTGATGGGCTCCCCTTGTTCTTACTGCTGGAGGGGAGGCCTCCCAACCTGTCTGATCAAGTCAGAGCGTATATCAGGCCTTTGGGGCCCTCATTCCTTTTTGTTTATCCTGTCTGCTGGACTGCTAGGAGAAACTGGAGAAAGTTGCCCAAACTGTACAACAGGATGGGAAGAAGAGAGTGAGAGCTCAGAACAGAGAAAAATCTGGGGCTGAAATTGTGGACCAGTGGGTTAAGCCACAGTCTGCAGCTGGCATCCCATACATGAGTGCCGGTTAGAATCTCTGCTGCTCCACTGCTGATCCAGCTCCCTGCTAATGTGCCTGGGAAAGCAGTGGACAGTGGCCCAAGTCCCATCCACGTGGGACCCTTGGATGGAGTTCTGGCCTGGCTTTGGCAATTTAGGGAATGAACCAGCAGATGGAAGATCTCTTTTCTCTGTTGCTCCCTCTATCTGGAACTCTGCCTTTCAAATGAATAAATAAACCTTTAAAAAAGAAAAAGAAAATGGAAAATGTTCCCTTCGGAGGGGGTATTCTAGTACCACTTTTCCCCTCCCCCATACTCGTAGCTCCTTGTGTCTGCATTCCTAGGGTGGATGAACAAACTCTGCAGTCACACAGGCTGTGTGTGAGGGGAGGGAGGGCATTTTCAAAAAGTTCATGGAAAACGCTCATTGTGAAAACAGTCACTTTTGAAATTTTCATCTCAAACAAACTTATCTTTGTATTCCATTTTTTTCTGAAAACTTTTTGTAGTACACTCATGGGAGTTTTAAATTCTGCTCTCCTGGTCCTACCTTAGATGCCAATATTTAAAAATCAAAAGATTTCTTATGAAAATATAGATTTCTGATTCCTTATTTTGGGGTGGGGGAGCCCAGTCTGGGCTCACATTCCTGCATGGTGATAACCAGCAGGGACTGAGCACTGTGGTGGTTATTCTGCTGCAGGCTCCACCTCTCCTGTCTTACAGCCAGGTTTGCTCACATAGGCTGGGTGATTGGCCCCTGCATAGATAGATGGTCTTGTGGCCCCTGCAGACTGTGAGGGCTGAGTTCTCACCTGTCATTGAGGCAGCAGTAGATGATGGGGTTGTACATGGTGGAGCTCATGGCCAGCCACATGATGGCCAGGTAGACCTGCTGGATAAACTTCTTCAGGTAGAGATCTGGGTTGATATAGGGCAGGAGGAAGAAGATATGGAAGGGCAGCCAGCAGATGGCAAAGGTGCACACCACGACAATCATCATTTTGACCACCTGCCAAGAGAGAGAGACAGGTGAGACCACCAGCACATCCTCTTTGTCTGAAAGCTGCTCTTTCTCCTCCTACTCCTCACTGTTCAGTGTGGTTTGGCGGGTGGCAGGGGTAGTTATTGATTATAACTGTCCCTTTCAAGGAGAAGAAGGCTGTTTAACACACAGTGCTGAACAACTTCAGTTGTATCAGCAGTTCTCAGGGTGCAGTCCCAGCGTCAGCATCAGCACCCACACCCAGGAAATTGCAAAAGGGCAAGTTCCTGGAGTGCACTTTAGATCTGCTGACTCAGACACTCTGAGGGAGGGACCAGCATTCTGTTGGACAAATCCTTCAGATGATCCTGACTCATGCCCATATTGTATGGTCCTTCTAGGCAATGTCTGCAGAAGCCAAGGGAGAGCACGCCAAGGAGCAAAGGTGAGTGGGTGTTCAGGAGGGAAAGGCACAGAAAGGTGGGAAAGGGAAGAGTAATGAGCCAGGCAGGCTGGTTAGCTTGGAGGCTGGGGATCTGGGGGAGGTAAAAGATTTGGGCAGCAGCAAAATTGTATGATTAAACTGGATTGGAAAGAAACATTTTACAAACACTGGGAGCTATGTCCTTAATGTTTTTGTCACACCCAAACTTCTATGCTGAGATCCTAAGGCCCAAGGTGATGGCATTAAGGTGGGATTTTGGGGAGATGATTCAGTCTTGAGAGTACAGCTTTCATAAATGGGACTGGTGCCCTTGTGAAAGAGGCCTGGGAGAGGCCCCTTGCCCCTTCCACCACGTGAGGACAAAGCGAGAAGTAGCCACCCATGAACCAGGGAGCCAGATCTCAGCAGACACTGAATCTGCTGGCCTTGATCTTGGACTTCCCAGCCTCCAAAGCCGTGATGAATGCATTTCTGTCGTTTGACAGTTCCCAAAGCTATTGTGTTAGCAGCAGCCCAAATAGGATAGGACGATGGGTGATGCGACACTCTTATTTTTAGCACCCAGAAATCTTCAGTGAAGACCTACATAGTACCAGCTGTCTATACATGTAGCATGACATAATATGCAAGGAAATGTCAAAAAGGAAAAAAAGAGATTTTCAACAAAAAGACTTCCTTTCAAAGATCTTGTGGATTTTATGAAGTGAAAAAAATAAGAGGGAGAAATTTACTATGTATATAAAAAAGAAAATAATACTATTTTTTTAGCTTTTAAATGCTTTTATCTAGAACTAACAAGAAGCAACAGTGGTCGCCATTGTGTATTTGTCTGTATGTGTATGTATGTGTTTGTGAATGCTTATGTATGTGTGTGCTTGGGAATTGAGTAAAATGGAGGACCTAGAAGGAAAGGAGCCTTCCATGGTAGGATTTTTAATCTGTTTGTAACTTTTAATTTTGAGCTAATCTAAGACCCTCAAGAAGTTGCAGAAGAAACACAAGGAGTTCCCAGGTACCCTTCAATGAGATCGTGTTATATAACCACTCTACATTATCAAAACCAGGAGACTGGCATTGGTTTGGTGCTGTTCACTCAGTCACTGACTGCATTTGGATGGTTGCCAGTTTTTACCTGTGCGCTTCTGTTTTGGCAGTCAGTTCTATGAAATCTCAGCACACTCAGGATGCAAAGCTGCTCCCTCTCCCTTACTCCCTTTTTAAGCAGACGTCTCCCCCAGAACTAACCCCTGGAAAACCTCTTAGCTGTTCTCCATCACTGTAATTTTTGTTCCATTCAGTACTTTTTGATGTTTGAACCATGTGAGTCAATTCTTTTGTTAAATTTCAAATAAATAATAAAAGAGGACCAAATAACTCTCCACTGTGTGTGTGTTCTAGTGGACTGTCAGGTTCTAATTACTCTTTTTTTTTTTTTTAAACTGCCATTAGGTACAAGTTCTCTTTCTTTTTTTATTTTATTTTATTTTATTTTATGAACATAAATTTCCAAAGTACAGCTTATGGATTACAATAGCTTCCCCCCCACCCCCCAATTACTCTTACGGAGCAAGTGAAGTGGTTCATGCCTATATAACCAGACCCAGGCTCCAAGAACACCGAAGACCCAGCATTTCAGCTGTTCTCCAGACCCAGGAATGTTTGGTGTTCAGAGTCTCTGGGGCTGGCAGGCAGACCCCACTTGACACCTCCCACCTGTGCCAGGGTGGGTTAGGTGCTCTTTGTCCCTTACTCACCTTGCGCTTGGCAGAGACTTGCTCGTGGTAACGGTCAGAGGAGTCCCCAGGGATCTCACTGGCCCACAGTGTGATGCCCACTACGGTGTATGCGTAGCCAATCACCAGGAGGGGGAGGAAGTAGATGAGCACAGTCACACAGATGTGGTACCTGCAACAAGGAGGATAGGAGGGGCTGCTCTAAGAAGCAACAGAGGTGGGTGGTGACGGCCTGGGTTCCTTTCTCAGCATTTGCTGTTAATAAGCTTGGGCTGTAAGGACATCCCAAGGAGGTATGCTGTTTGCATAGGGTGGATGAATGACTAATGGGTGAAATAGGGAAAGCAAATCTCTTCCATTTATGTTTTTCTTGTGGACTTTTCCCATAGTAGAGATTGCTGTTCAGATTGTAAAGAGAAGAGAAGCTGATGAGGGGAACTGAATTAATTGTATATTAATTGTATATCTATGGGGACTGGCACTGTGGTACAGTGGGTTACACTGTGCCTACAGTGCTGGCATCCCATATGGGCGCCGGTTCAAGTCCTGACTGCTCCACTTCCAATCTAGCTCTCTGCTTTGGCCTGGGAAAGCAGTGGAAAATGGCCCAAGTCCTTGGGCCACTGCACCCGTGTGGGAGATCCAGAGGAAGCTCCTGGCTCCTGGCTTCGGATCAACTCAGCTCCGGTCATTGTGGTCATTTGGGGAGTGGAACATCAGATGGAAGACCTCTCTCTCTTTGGCTCTACCTCTCTCTGTAACTGTGTATTTCAAATAAATAAAATAAATCTTAAAAAAATTGTGTATCTATGGCAATTTCAGTTGGTGTTAGTGCAGTATCACTCCACATAAAAGAGATAGCAAATTTTGATGGCATTAGCAGAAGTACATGCTCTCAAATGAAGGAGGTATGCCTTCAGTTATGTCTGCTGGACAACACTTAATGCTCAATTTCAGTGCAAGGATGTAAACAAGTAGACCAGTTAGACAATGGTTGATGGATTCCTGGATATCAGAGTTAGAGAGAGGGGGGAGTGAGATAAGACTGATCCTAGAACAGTCTCTGGAGGAAAGCCACAGGGTAGAATCTATTCTTGTGCATGGCCCTTGAGAACACATCTTCAGATGGAAGTGCCTGGGTCTCTGAGCCACCACTTGGAGGAAAGATGCCAGCAGAGTCACATTTGACTGCTGCACTAGCAGGAAACAGACCCTTTGCAGCATAACACCACTCAGATCCTGGAGCTTATTCCAGTGGCAAAACATGCCCTACTCTGTTTACATCAAGTCTCCTTCTAAGTAGGAGACCCAAATAAGTTTTTTTTTTTTTAATTTTGAGAAAGATTTTTTTTTTCACTCAGAGCATCTTTAGCTTGTCTAGTTACAGCCCTTAATCCAGATGTGAGTGTAATGAAGGGGCTCAGCATTCCTACCATGATGATGATGGTGATGAAGAGAACAGCTAACTTTACTCTAGATTATTGTGCTACTAATAATATTAATGGTAGATATGTAACAGAAATGGTAGCTAAGTTGTGTTGAGTGTTTGCCAAGAGCACAAAGTTAGGCATTTTACTGGCATTATCTTACTGAAAATTTACTCCTTCAGTTACTGGGTAGGCACCATCATCATCCCATCTTCTAGATGAGGAACCTGAAGCTTAGAATTTAGTTAGTTTGCTAAAATTCACAGCTGATAAAGGGAGAAGATAGGCTTAGAACACAGGTCTGTGACCCCAGCATCAGCTTCTTTTCACTGGAGAAAATTTATCCATAAATTGTTTTCTTCCATATGTTGGCAGTCTATGCTTATTCTCTGTGATGATTGTCTCACAATAAGGAAAGCCCACTTATTCACTAAATATCTCCCTTGTCTATATGCTGTTTACATTCAATCACTTCTTGGAAAGCCCATAGTTTGCCACTTACTTAGCCTTCTCTGATTATTAAAATTTGCAACTAGAAGATACCCCAAGAGTTCTTTTTTTTTTAATTAATATTAATTTTAAAAATTTATTTGAAAGATTTACGGAGAGAAGAGGATAGAGTGAGAAAGAGATCTTCCATCCACTGGTTTATTTCCCAAATGTTCACAACAGCCAGGGCAGGCCAGGCTGAAGCTAGGAGCCCAGAGATTCTTCTCAGTCTCCCATGTGGGTTTAGGGGCTCAATCACTTGGGCCATCCTCTGCTGTTTTTCCAGGCACATTAGCAGGGAGCTAGATTGTAAGTGAAGCAACTGGTGGGCACTTGACCTGGTGGGCACTTGACCTGGTGCCCACATAGGATAATGGCATCTCAGGCAGAGGCTTAGCTTGCTATGCTACAATGCCACCCCCCAACAGTGTTCTTTTTTAAAAATATTTTATTTAAGGAATGCAACTTCATGCATTTTATATATATATATATATATATATATATATATATATTTGGAAACATGAGGATTCTTCCCCCTCTACCTCCCTCCCACCCATACTCCTGCCCTTGTTTCTCCCCCCTCTTCCTTCACCATTCTTATTTTTCACAGAGATTGATTTTTCATATAGTTTTTATACTCATAAAATTAATCTTACACTAAGTAGAGAGTTCACCAATTAGTATGAAGAAAAAAGAAAAAAAAGTTCGACAGTCAGGTCAAAGGCTGTTCAAAATCAACGCATCTTAAAGTGTCAGTTTCACTCCTATAGATTGCATTTTAGGTACTCTTTTAGTTACTACAGATCAGAGAGAGAGACCATATGGTATTTGTCTTTTTGTGACTGGCTTACTTCACTAAGTATAATGGTTTCCAGTTACATCCATTTTCTTTCAAATAAAATGATTTCATTTTTTACCCTCTGTGTAGTATTACATAGTGCATATATGCCATAATTTCTTTATCCAATCCTCAGTTGATGGACATCTGGGTTGATGCCGTATCTTAGTTATTGTAAATTGCGCTGAGATGAACATAGGGATACAGATCACTCTTTCATATGCTGATTTCATTTCCTTTGGATAAATTCCCACTGGATGGCTGGGTCATATGGTAGATCTATATTCAGCTTTCAAGGGATACAAATAGGGAAGGAAGAAGTCAAACTATCCCTATTTGCTGATGACATGATTCTATATATAGGAAACCCAAGAGACTCCACAAAGAGACTATTGGAACTCATAAAAGAGTTTGGTAAAGTAACAGGATATGAAATCAACACACAAAAATCAATAGCCTTTGTATTCACAGAAATGCCACAGCTGAGAAGCATCTTCTAAGATCAACCCCATTCACACTAGCTACCAAAAATTTAAATATCTTGGAATAAACATAACCAAGGATGTCAAAGATCTCTACAATGAAAATTAACAAACATTAAAGAGATAGAAGACATAAAAAAGTGGAAAAATCTCCCTTGTTCATGGATTGGAAGAATCAACGTCTTCAAAATGTCCATACTACTGAAAGCAATTTATAGATTCAGTGTGTTTTCCCATTCAAAATACCAACATTCTTCTCATATCTAGAAAAAAATAATGCTAAAATTCACATGGAAACACAAGAGACCCCAGATAGTTAAAGCAATCTTATACAACAAAACCAAAGCTGGAGGCATCACAATACCAGACCTCAAGACATACTACAGGGCAGTTATAATCAAAACAGGCTGGGACTGGCACAAAAACAGACATGTAGGCCAATGGAACAGAATAGAAACTCCAGAAATTAACCCACACATCTACAACCAGCTTATCTTTGACAAAGGAGCAAAAATCAATCCCTGGAGCCAAGACAGTCTCTTGAACAAATGGTGCTGGGAAAACTGCATCTCTGAATGCAGAAGCATGAAACAAGATCTCTACCTTACACCTTATACAGAAATCTACTCTAAATGGATCAGAGACATAAATCTACCACTTGATAACAAATTATTAGAGAACATTGGGGGAACCCTGCAAGACATTGCATAGGAAAAGACTTCTTGGAAAAGATCCCAGAAGCACAGTCAATCAAAGCCAAAATTAACAAGTAGGATTACATCAAATTGAGAAGCTTCTGCACTGCAAAAGAAATGCCCAGTAAAGTGAGGTGGCAAACAATAGAATGGGAGAAAATATTTGCAAACTATAAAACTGGGGCCAGTGCCGCGGCTCACTAGGCTAATCTTCCGCCTTGCGGCACCGGCACACCAGGTTCTAGTCCCGGTCGGGGCGCCGGATTCTGTCCCGGTTGCCCCTCTTCCAGGCCAGCTCTCTGCTGTGGCCAGGGAGTGCAGTGGAGGATGGCCCAAGTGCTTGGGCCCTGCACCCCATGGAGGCCAGGATAAGTACCTGGCTCCTGCCATCGGATCAGCGCGGTGTGCTGGCCGCATTGTGCGGGCCGCGGCGGCCATTGGAGGGTGAACCAATGGCAAAAAAGGAAGACCTTTCTCTCTCTCTCTCTCACTGTCCACTCTGCCTGTCCAAAAAAAAAAAAAACAAAAACAAAAACAAAAACCCAAAACAAAACTATGAAACTGACAAAGGGTTAACTTCCAAATCTATAAAGAACTCAAGAAAATAACCACAAAACAACCTAGTCAAGAAATGGGCAAAGGACCTGAACAGACATTTTCAAGAGAAGAAATTCAGATGGCCAATAGACACATAAAAAACTGCTCAGGATCACTAGTCATCAGGGAAATGCAAATCAAAACCACAATGACGTTTCACCTCATCCCCATTAGAATAGCCCTTATACAGAAATCAATAAACAACGAATGCTGGTGAAGGTGTGGGGAGAGGGGTACCTTAATCCACTATTCCACTATTGATGGGAATGTAAACTAGTACAGCTACTGATCAAGACTTCTTAAGTAACAAACCACAGACTCAGCCAAGCAGAGTGCTGAGCACATCAGTCTTAGACTGATGTACATACTGCCTCAGTCAGCAGGACTGCAGGGTCCCTTGGGTTTTCACCTCCTTGGGAGCCTCTGGATTCTCCAGCCTCCAGGGCAGTGTCTGTACACCTTGTTTCCTACCCGATCATATAACATAGCCCCTCATCCCAGTGGTCATATGGACGGTGATTGCAAGCAAATTTGGAGACCACAGAACAAGGGGGATCTGAGAACTGAGTTGTACTGACTTCTCCCTGTAAGAATAGCCCTGTGTCAGGTGGACTGGTACATGGTTAGTGACCAGAACCCATCAG